TTGATCACTGTGTAAGCAGTGATCCTACTCATGTTTTTTTCTCTTTGAGTTCATTATACATATGTGTTGTCAAATTTGAAATATTTGCAGTTGGTCATTGCCAAGCCAATATTTTTCAAGGAATTTGTTTTTCAAGGAATTCATTCGTGTGTGTGTGTGTGTGTGTGTGTGTGTGTGTGTCATATGTAGTGTGTGTGCGTTTATGTGTGGTATGTGTGTGTCCTCATGTAGGTGTTCATACACATATGTATGTGAATATAGTCTAGAGTTCAATCTCATGTTTCATTCCTCAGGCCCTGTCCACCTTGATTTTTAAGAGGGTTTCATACAGGCTTTGAGCTCACCTAAGTGGAATAGTCAGGCTGGCCAGCCAACAACACCTAGAGATTGATCTATGTTTTCATAGATTCTGAGAATTGAGTTTGGGTCCTCATGCTTACATAGAACTTCACTGGCTGAGCATCTCTGCAACTCCTCTCAGGGACTCTGGATAGTAAGTACCTCATCAGCCACCGGAATCAGTTCAGTTCATTGACACTGTTCATTTCTTTGTTCCGTTTTGTGTTCTTTTGCTGTCTTTAAGTTTTCTAATTACTGCAGTTATTAACCTTAATCCTATCAAGTATGCTTTTCCAGTTTACATTGTGCATTTCCTTTATAGACCAAATTCAAGCTTTTAAAATTCTTTTGTGTACTTATTTAGTAAGTTCAGTCTTCCTCTAGCTCCTGAATTATAGGAAAGGCCACTGGGAACAGTAATTTCTGGGTTTCCTGCTCAGTTTTCTGCTGGGCTCTACTCCAAGCAGCTCTGATTACTAAGGTGCTTCATGTTGAGTGCCAAGTTTCTTCTTCATGGAGAGGGTTCTGGCCTTGTTTGTTCCTGGAAGGCCTCTTTAGGTAGTATGCAGTACTACTCAGGGGCCACCTTGCTTGCTTCTCATCAGTCAGCAGTCACTGTCCATTACTTGATGTCTAGGGTCTCACGAACCATCATTTGGATATTACATCCAGTTTTAAAATTTATTCAGGTAGGTGGGAAAATCTTGTCCCTTTTATTCCCTTCTGGCTAGCACTTGAAGCCCACAGCCATATTTCTAATTGTTATAATTCAACAAAAACATACTTTTCACAGCAAGACTGATTGTAAGAATACTCTGGTATAGGCAACACACAAACAATCAAATATATTTTTTAAGTGGGGCTGACAAGGTAGCTCAATGGGTAAAGGAACTTGCTGCCAAATCTGATAACCTGAGTTTAGTTCCTGGAACCCACACATGGTAGAAGAAGAGAAAAGACTTCAGTAAGCTGTCTTCTGACCTCTTGCACAATTGCTGTGGCACATACATATGTGTTCACAAACATACATACATACATACATACATACATATAAGATAAATGCTTAAAATTTTTAATGAATTAAAATTTTTAAAAAGAGCAGGCCAATCAGTTCATGTCAGAGGCAGTCCCTGTTCCCATTACTATGGAACCCACTTAGACACTGACCTGCCATGGGCTACATCTATGCAGGGGTTCTAGGTTATCTCCATGCATGGTACTTGTTTGGAGTATGAGTCTCAGGAAAGACCCCTGTGCTCAGATTTTTTGGTTCTGTTGCTCTCCTTGTGGAGCTCCTGTCCTCTCCAGATCTTACTATTTCCTACTTTTTTATAAGACTCCCTGCACTCTGCCCAACAGTTGGCCATAAGATCTGATAGACTAGGAAGGAAAGGAAGACTGCCCCTACCAGTAGACTTGGGGAGGGACATGCATGGAGAAGGGGGAGGGAAGCTGGGATTGGAAGGAGGAGAGAGGAGTTAATGGGGGATACAAAGTGAATAAAGTGTAATTAATAAAAATTAAAATAAAAAAATTTAAAAAAGACATCAGTTAGTCTTTGATTTTGAATTGTCATCTTCCATTCTAGCCCCAGAGCAGAAGCTTAGTTTTGTAGTGACGTTGTTCTTAACAAACAGGACAGTTGGCACATTGTTCCTGCTTATACCAGTTGTAAAAGCAAGGATATTTAGAATGATTACAGATTTTATTGCTTGTCTGTCTCTAGGTCATGCTTATTTTAGACACTATCTTAGCTGATTTTTTAGAAGTCTGGTTAGAGGGAGGGAATCTGAAAATATGGCGAGGGTGGTGTTGAAACTAATCATTTAAATTTAGAGATTAGTTTTAAATATAAATTAATTTGCTAGGAACACGTGGTGTTTTTGGCACCTTTAAATTAAAGTCATGGGTGTTCTAGATCAGATGTCTGTGTATTAGGCCAGCTGGCGTCATTTACTGATCGCATCACTTTCAGGCCCTTTGTGTCCCCCACCTTACAAAATGCTCTGAATGGCCTCATGCAGCTTTGCCAACATGAACATGCTTGCTCACAGTAGAAGTTGACTCAGGTGGGCTAAAGAACACGCGTTCTATTGACTTGTACTGCGGGTGGGGCAACCTGCTTCTTATTAAAGTTGGTTGTATTTTGTGCACCAGTTCTTTTTAAAAATGTGAATAGAAAAAAAGATTGTTTTGGAAGGAATTACTCATGAAACATTCTCAATTGAGTCCTCGTGGGGAAGGCAGTACATTGCTTGTCATGGAATGTTGTACCAGATCACATGACCCTGTGCCTCACTGCTGTCTAATGAAGCCACTTTGAGTGTGTGTGTGTGTTTCTTGTCTTTCAACAGTGATGGGATGGGTGAAGCTCTTCAGATATTTGACCAAAGGTATTTAATAGTTTAACCTTGTTGTATTTTAAAATACTATTTTAATACCATGTTATTTTTGTCCAGAAGTATATGTTTGGAAACATTACACATTTATATAATAAGCTTTATTTCAGTATTGTTACTTTTTCTTAAGTATTAATAATTTTAATTTGAAAAAGACATTTTTATATTTAATTGTTGCTGGGACAAAAGCCACACAGCCAGAATTTCAGAAAAATGATTGGTTTTGCTTCTAAGTAAAGAGTTATATATAATCCCCAGAATAATCTTTTGGTTGGTCAAGATCAGTCAAGTTTTTTATAAAGTACATCTGGAACAATAATGTCTTCAGACCCAAACCTGTGAACTAGCGTTTTTGTTCCTCTTAGGTTTCTGTGTATGTCTGCCTGAAAGAAAGCTTTTTAGCAAGAGACTGTTCTTTGCCTAGACATCCTGTTAGGTCTAGACTCTGACTTTCCAAGTGCAAGTGGGCTCTATTTCTAGGGTCTGACCACTCCTCTCACTGTTCTAGGGCTTCTGTGCTCAGTGTGACTGATTTCACCTCTCAACTCTGCTCTTCCTGGATGGTGCAAAGCTATCTACAGGGCATACAGCAGGGTTCCACAGTAGTATTTGCCTAACCACACAGGTTCATTAATGAGAAGAAAAGTTAGACTTTGTGTTTGTATCATAATTACGACTGCTACAGTGTTTTATCCATGTGGAATGTCAGTGGCACATATAGTAATAGATAACCAAATGCACACATTAAACATGATACTTGTGTTAAATCCACATCAGTCCTCTCTTTCTGCTTTTACCTGTAGCTGTAGACATCATCCAGAGCACACTTAGCCTCTACTTTGGAAGCCTTAGAGATGCAGAAGTTTGAGTGTGCTTGTCTTGTGCAGTGACTACCAGACTCTCAAGGAGCTCTTTTGTTCTTGTAATTAATTCAGTTGCCAGTATGGGGTAGTGAGGCTGAGGCTTGTATTGGTAGGACTATAATTGTTGATATAGCTACTAACATCAGTTAAATGCTTTGGTTTGAAAAGTAAGGTATCTGATTAGGCATCCATTCCTTTAAACAAAGTGCTTTCTTTTAGGCTTAGCACTGAGAGACTAAAGTCAGAGTTGTCATCATCTTACAGCAATACAGGAGAGGCACTGAAGGCTTTTCTGGTATTTGGATTTTAAACTTTTTAAAAAGGTATTATCTAATGTCTTCATTAATCTTCACCTATTTTTAAAATACTTTGGCAATGTCTTTCAAACTTATATGCATTGGTTCAGGGTGGGAGTGACTATCGAGCTATTTTTGAAATGCCCTGTTCTTACTGCACTGTTTGCATAGGGCGATTTCTGCTGTCCATAAGCTTTTCTGTGAAGCTCTCTGTAGTGTTTGATGGAATTGTGTTGGATCAGGGCTGAAAGCCAAATTCAAAATTCATTTGATGATGTGAGATTGAGTCAAAGGTATTTTTGAAATCACCCATAAAATCCTTAAATGGCCTATAGCATATGCATGACAGAACTGTGTTGTACAGTCCTACAGGAAGTATCTATGGATTCTTGTAACTCTTTGTTATAGATCCATATAGCCCCATCTTGTCCTTCAGTGTCTTCCTCAAGCCTCTACCATGCCCTCCTCATGCCACTCAACTATTCACCTATCCATAGTCAGCAAATAAATCCTCTTTTTGATAAGTATTGGACCTGGGACAAATACTCATGGAATAAAATTATTTAGTATTCTTTCAGGTAAAAGACTTCAAATGCATATGTGAGTTAATTTAAGTAACTTAAATCCATGTATGATGTAATCCTTACACATTACCACCTTCCCTCTCTTATTTTGTAAATTTGTAGTGTTAAATTCTGCCAATGGTGTGTTGGAAGGAAATGGTCCTGTTTATCAGTTACATGATGAGCATTAAGAATGTGTAAGGTATTGCCACTGGAATTGAAGCTGTAGGGGTGGAAGAGACATCGTTTGTATGTAACTAGTGGGGAGAACAGGATCTAGTGAATGGCTTCTGATCTTGCTAAAGTGTAGGCATGAACCCTACACAGTGATGGGCACTCATACCAGTCTCCTGTGGATCACATGCAAGTGACTGGCACAGACATGAAGATCAGGGCTGGTGTGGATTGCCCTGCTAGGAAAATCCCAGACCATCCCACAAACAACTGAGAAAGTTTGTGGGGTCTTACCTGATTTTAACTGTATTTTGTTACAGATCTGAACATAACTCACTTTAAGTACTCTTACTTATTTTTTAACAGGAATCACTAGATTTGATCTACTTGGAGACTTTGGAAGATTTAATTGGCTGGGAAATTTCTATATTGTATTATCCTACAATTTACTTTTTGCCATTGTGACAACATTGTGTTTGGTCAGAAAATTCACGTCAGCTGTACGAGAAGAACTTTTCAAGGCCCTAGGTAATCTTGAGTTTATGAACTTTTTTTTCTATTAATATTTACTTTAACATTTGAGTCTTTATTTAATTTCTAAGTGAGCATGGCAATTGGTCACATTCTTAACCCATGTGTTGGTTGTGACTGGATCAGAATCATGTCCTTGTACTTCAGGCCCTTATCTGTAAGATGTGTGAGTAAGAACAGTGGTGGTTCTTATGGGGCCTCAGTACAGGGCCTAAGTAAGACATCCTAAAGACTTGGGAATGGCAGTTAGCCCCTTTGTTCTTGTCATGATAGTGATGAGAATGACTTAGTGTTGAAGGTTTAGTTTTTGTAATGATGAACTTTTACTATTATTTACTTGCAGCTTTTTGAGGGGAGGAACTTGCATTTCCCAAGTATATATGCAAGCTGTAATTCTCTTCAGTAAGCTAAATAACTGAAAAACAATGTTGGTATTCTTGGTACAGACAGGACAGGGGTTTTGTTGTCGTGTACTCTGTCATTTGTATTGTAGTGGCATTAAAGCCTGCTCCAAGTGCTGCATACTCTTACACTCTTGCTGAACATAGTCCAGGGTCTGTGCGTTAGGGTGTGCAGCACTCTAGAAACTTCCCAGACTTGCGGCATCTACCTCCATAGCAGTAAAGAATGGTTTCCTACAGGAAACTATAGGAAACCCCAGCATTAATTTGCCTGACACCACTTGAATGCTTATGTTTCATATAGGTTGTGGTTTTAGCTATTTTAAGAGACAACATCTTGATAAATTCATTAAGAAAGCTTAAACTATAGGAGCAGCAATAAAGCTTCTCATAGCACCAACTTTATGACCTTGATGTTTAAAAGGATGACCTTTGAAGAAAGAATACCAGGTTACTGCGCCATGTGTATTTTATTTGTAACATGCAGTGTGAGGGGATAGATGATTGAAATATTGCCCTGAAATGAAAAAGCTACATCTCATCTCATCTGAAACACCAGTTAATATATAAATTTCAGTGCCTGGGTTTCACAGTACCGGCCACATTAAAAACAGGCAGATGCCTAGTTGAAACCGTCATCACTGTCTAGTTGAAACATTTTTAGCTGGGAGTTCAAATCAATTACAACTTGGCTACGACTAAGAAGGCTGCAGTGTATCAGTGTTGGCACCCTGCTGTGGTGCTAAGGTAATAAGTTAACCTGCCAGAGGCCAGAGGCCGTCTGTGTCATGTCAGCAATCTGACCATAAGACACAGTGGAGTTTGCAAGAGCTGTGTGACGCTTTCAAGAGATAATGTTTTCTTTTTCAAATGTTTTCTATTACCTTTTTGTATATTATTTAGGGGGCAATTCCCTGTGTAGAAAAGAATCCTCTTTAAATATAAGTTCAAATGGCCCAAGATGTTAAGTCTGACTTTATTAACCCATTCCTGACAGGTCTTTTTAGAGAACATCTGCTGCAAGTAGCCACAGTGATGATGTTGACCCAGGGACTGTCTCGGGAGAGGTGTGCAGATTACTGTGTTGCAGTTTTATGAGTCCTGTGTCATACCCAAGAAGTGAACCTACTTAAGTCTTCTATCTTAAAAGTATAGTTCCTGGGTCAGGAATGTGGCTTAGTGGTAGAGTGCTTGCCTAACATAGATAAGGTCCTAGGTTTGATCTCCAGCAATGCAACCTATACAGGAAAGCTTTCCTGTTGCTCAACAGGTCTTCTTGGGTCACCTACTCCCTTAGCAATACTCTTTTCTCACCCTTATCCTATTTTTTCTGCAGGGCTTCACAAACTCCACTTGTCAGATACCTCAAGGGATTCAGAAACTACAAAGCCTTCTGCCAACGGGCATCAGAAAGCACTGTGAGACCTGGCTGCCTCAGTAGCATTCTGCAGCAAGTCCTGACAACTCCTGACTCATGACATTCCCACAAACACAGATCAGCTTGTGGTGGGGTCTGGGCCTGCCTGTCAGTGCCACCTTCTCATAATCACTGAGAACTTGGCATTGCTGATCTGTTTCTCATTTGAATTGTCTCACTGACCTTATAGATTTTGATTAAAGCCCGAGTCTTAGAGACTGAGGAAAAGCTGGATGTCTACAGCAGGGAACCATCTGGATAAGAGGTGAAGATGTGCGAAGAGGAAACTTGGACTTTCTTATGCTTTGCTTTATATCGTGAGAAGTTTGGTTCTGTAGACAGAAGCCTACCTGAAAGTCACTTGGTATCCCATAATGTCTTTAGAAAGTCCTAGAAACTGCCGTACTAGTAACAAACTCCATTTTCTATTTTCTTAAAACCCCAAAAAAGTTTGTGATTTATGTTACAGAATCTTCATTAGACTTTGAGCCAGTGGAAAACACTAGATTCTTTTCAAACCACAGCCTTGGTGGGCAGCCCCAGGACTATCCTTTGTGGTAAGCTGCAGTAGGAAGCATATGTGATTGTATATTTGGACAGTTTGGGTGTATACAGCTGATAATACTCTTCATAGTGCAGTGCCAGTGTAAGACACACTTGTAATTTAGACTTTGCCTTATAGGCCATATGTACATTCACTTTTTAACCCCCCCCCCTTTTTTAAACTGCTACACTCCCCGTGCTTGTTTGCCTGTGGAACCCATAGACAGAATTTGCTTCTTCTTCATGTCCCTCAGGCTTTGGTGACATTCATATACGCCACCATAAGTCTCCACCTCAGGAAAGTTACCAGTGTGATACCCAGAACTCAAAGGTCAAGTTCTCCACGGAAGGGCAGGTACAGTGTAATAGGAGTTCATAATTATTCAGTTGTTTAGTTGTAATTGTTGGGATGCTTCCTCAACTCTTGAGTCTACTGATTAAATAAAAAAACATGAGCACATGCTGTTGTTGTCCCTAGGTAGCACACAATTCACAGAAGTATAGTGATGCTCATATTTACTTGTATGGATAACAAAGCAGGGTTTGTGTTCAGAAAAAAAGTAAAGTATTTTTTTCTCAAATTGTTGAATTTAGTTTGTTTTAGAGAAATATAGGAAAGCCTGTATCTGACTGTTTTTGCTTTTACTTAGAAAACCAAGAAAATTTAGCTGTATGTTTCAAGCCATGGAGTACAGTTTTTACTTACACCATGGCATTCTCTGGTACCCCAGGTTAGCTTTAAGGAAAAGGAACATTGGTGCTGTGGCTCTGAGTAATTTCAGTCCATGCTGCCAGTGAGTACTAGTAGATTCCTGAGTGTGAGGTCCTGCACTAGTACAATGAAAGTTGACTACTTTCAAATTTCCCTGATCATTATGCCTACATTAGCCAGGCTCTACTTCTTCCTGAAACTTGAAATCCATCCTTTGAGCAGACCAAGTGGAGAGAAGATCGGGGAGCAGTTTCCTACTGCAGGCACTTACAGTGACACCATTGCCACACAGCCACACAGAGCTCCTGCTAGTCTGTGAGGTGTCCGAAACTTTCATAGAATATTAAACTTTTCAATGTCTGTCTCAACTTTAATTTTTAGTGTGTGTGTGTGTATGTGTGTGACCATGAGTGAAGATCTGAGAACAACTTTCAGGAGTCAGTTCTTTATTTTCACCATGTGTATGCTGGTGATTAAGATACCTGCTGAGCCATCTCATTGGCCAGTCCTAAACTTTTTTTTGACTAATTTTTATTTTTTATATTAATCACAGGTATTTACTTTGTATCCCAACCATAGCCCCCTCACTCTTTCCCTTTCAATCCCTCCTCCTTCCCTCATCTCCTCCCTGCCCCCTTCCAAGTCCACTGCTAGGGGAGGCCTTCCTCCCCTTCCATCTGACCCTAGCTTATCAGGTATCTTCAGGACTGGCTGCCATGTCCTCCTCTGTGGCCTAGCAAGACTGTTCCTCCCTCGGGGGATTAGGGGGCCAGATAAAGGAGCCAGTCGTTGAGTTCATGTCAGAAATAGTTCCTATTCCCCTTACTAGGGAAACACACTTGGTTACTGAGTTACCATGTGCTATATCCCAGCAGGGGTTCAAAAGCCTACGGCAGAGGGCCTCTGAAAGACTCTACCTAGCAGTGTATCAAAGCAGATGTGGAGACTCATAATCAAACCTTCAGCAGAGTGCAGGGAATCATATGAAAGAAGGGGGAGTTAGTATGACCTAGAGAGGACAGGAGCTCCACAAGGACAAAATATATCAGGGCATGGGGGCCCTCTATGAGACTGTTTCTCCAACCAAGGACCATATAAGGATATAACCTAACCTTTTTAATCATTGGAAGTTTTGAATATGGGAGCCAGGCTTGGGTAACTAAGCCTAGTCAGATATATGATGAATTTTAAAACACTGACTAGAGGTATTTGCTGATGAGATGAAAAGTGGGCTTTAAGGGGTATTGTCTCACCTTGGATCTCAGGCCCTCTATGGTTGATCTACTGCATGGTTGTGACCCTTTAATGGTCACTGGTCATTCACCTGAGAGTCTCACCTGGAGAGAGGGACTGAGTCCAGGTGCAGTCACTGCATTGGGCATGTGCTGAAGGCTGACTGATGCAGAACTTCACAAGTGGACAGCAGCACGCTGAGGCTTCCCATTCTAAATTCACGAAGACACGTACACACAGGATTCTTGCATTGTAGAGGTATTTTACAGAAAATGCAGAAAGTTCTGCAAACAAGTGTTCTTATTCACACTAGTCATGGTGTTTTGTTTTTTTTTTTTTTTAAACTAGATGAGGCTGCAGCAGGGACTGATAATTTGTTCTGCTGTTCTTTCACCTTGAATTTCCTCTTTAAAAGGGCACGAAGCTGGGCATGGTGGTGTTTGCCTTAATCTTAGCATGCAAGAGGCAGAAGCAGGAGGATACTATGAATTTGAAGCCAGCCTGGTTTACATAGTGGGTTCCAGGCAAGTCAGAGTTACATAGTGAAACTGTCTCAAAAAACAAAACAATAAAACAAAACAAAATAAGGGCATGCGGATTGGGGTGGAGTGGCTAGAGATGTCTCAGCAGTTCAGAGAACTGGGTGTTCTATTAGAGGACTCAAATTTGGTTCCCAGCATCCACATGGTGGCTTACAGCCATCAGTAACTAGTCACAGGGATCTGAAACCCTTTTCAGGCCTCCATGGGCACTGCAGGCACATGCTGCAGGAAAACCATCCCTACACATAAAAATAATACAATTTAAACTAAAAGGGTACCAGGTACTTACAGATCTTAATGAGGAGATACAACAAATATTATGGATTCAAACATTGCTTATCTATATTTGTCTATCTGACTATCTATCTAATCTATCCATCTTTTAATAATTTTTTAAAAATTATTTATTTCTATATAAATTATACTTTATATCCCAGCTGTAGCCCCCCTCTTTTCCCCTCCCAATCACACCCTCCCTCCCTCATTTCCTCCCATGCCCCTCCCCAAGTCCACAGATATGGGAGGTCCTCCTTCCCTTTCCTCTGACCCTAGCCTATCAGGTCTCATCAGGACTGGCTTCTTTGTCTTCCTTTGTGGCCTGGTAAGGCTGCTCCCCCCTCAGGAGGGTGATCAAAGAGCCAGCCACTGAGTTCATGTCAGAGACAGTTCCTGTTTCCATTACTAGGGAACCCACGTAGAGACTGAAATGCCATGGGCTATATCTGTGCAGGGGTTCTAGGTTATCTCTATACATTGTCCTTGCTTGGTGTATCAGTCTCAGAAAAGACCCCTGTGCCCAGTTTTTTGGTTCTGTTGCTCTCCTTGTGGAGCTCTTATTCCCTCCAGGTCTTTCTATCTCCCCCTTCTTTCATAAGATTCCCTGCACTCTGCCCAAAGTTTGGCTATGAATCTCAGCATATGTTTTGATACCCTGCTGTGTAGAATCATTCAAAGGCCCACTGTGATAGGCTCCTTCTTATTCCCTGTTTTCTCCTTCTTCTGATGTCTATCCTCTTTGCCTTTCTGAATGAGGACTGAACATCTTACCCAGAGTCCTTCTTGATTAGATTCTTTAGGTGTACAGATTTTAGTATGTTTGTCCTATATTATATGTCTAATATCCACTTATAAGTGAGTATATACCATGTGTGTCTTTCTGCTTCTGGGATACCTCACTCAGGATGATCTTTTTTAGTTCCCACCGTTTGCCTGCAAATTTCATGATTTCCTTGTTTTTAATTGCTGAGTAATACTCCATTGTGTAAATGTACCACAATTTCTGTATTCATTCCTCAACTGAGGGGTTGTTTCCAGCTTCTGGCTATTACAAATAAAGCTGTACAGATATGGTTGAACAAATGTCCTTGTTGTATACTTGAGCATCTTTTAAATATATGCCTAGGTGTGGTATAGCTGGATCTTGAGGTAGCACTATTCCTAATTGTCTGAGAAAGCGCCATATTGCTTTCCAGAGTGGTTGTACAAGTTTACATTCCCACCAGCAATGGAGGAGGGTTCCCCTTTCTCCACATCCTTTCCAGCATGCATTGTCACTTGAGTTTTTCGTCTTAGCCATTCTAATGGGTATAAGGTGAAATCTCAGGGTCGTTTTGATTTGCATTTCCCTGATTTCCCTGAGCATTTCTTTTAAGTGTTTCTCTGCCATTCTGTATTCCTCTACAGAGAATTCTCTGTTTAGCTCTGCACCCCATTTTTTTAATTGGATTACTTGATTTTTTGCTTTTTAACTTCTTTAGTTTATATATTCTGGATTTTAGACACTGTCAGATAGAGTGTTGTGAAGTTCCCTTCCCAGTCTGTAGGCTGTTGTTTTATTCTGACGACAGTTTCCTTTGCTTTACAGAAGATTTTCAATTTCATGAGGTCCCATTTATTGATTATTGACCTTGGAGCCTGTGCTATTGGTGTTCTGTTCAGGAAGTTGTCTCCTGTGCCAATGAGTTCTAGGCTCTTCCCCACTTTTTCTTCTAACAGAGTTAGTGTGTCTGGTTTTATGTTGAGGTCTTTGATCCACTTGGACTTTAGTTTTGTGCAGGGTGATAAATAGGGATCTATTTGCATTTTTCTACACGTAAACATCCTGTTAGACCAGCACCATTTGTTGAAGATTCTATCTTTTTTCCATTATATGGTTTTAGCTTCTTTGTCAAAAATAAAGTATTTGTCACTGTGTGAGTTTATTTTTGGTTCTTCTATTTGATTCCATTGATCCACCATTCTGTTTCTATGAAAGTACCATGCAGTTTATTACTATTGCTCTGGGAGATACCTCCAGATATGTTGTTGTATAGGATTGTTTTGGCAAATTCTAGGTTTTTTGCTTTTCCTTATGAAATTGAGAGTTGTTCTTTCAAGATCTGTAAAGAATTGTGTTGGTAATTTGATGGGAATTGCATTGAATCTATAGACTGCTTTGGCAGGATGGCCATTTTCACTATGTTAATCCTACCGATCCATGAGCACAGGAGATCTTTCCATCTTCTAATATCTTCAATTTTTTTTTTTTCTTCAGAGACTTGGAAGTTTTTTTTTTTTAACAGGTCTTTTACTTGCTTGGTTAGAGTCACACCAAGGTACTTTATGTTATTAGTAGCTATTGTGAAGGGTGTCGTTTCCCTAATTTCTTTCTTGGCCCTTTTGTCTTTGGTATACAGGAGGGCTACTGATTTTTTTGAGTTAATTTTGTATCCAGCCAGTTTGCTGAAGGCGTTTATCAGCTGAAGGAGTTCTCTGGTTGGATTTTTGGGGTCACTCATGTATACTATCATATTATCTGCAAATAGTTTCTTCCTTTCTGATTTGTATCCCCTTGATTTCCTTTAGTTATCTTATTGCTCTAGCTTTAGACTTCAAGTACTATGTTGAAGAGATATGGAGAGAGTAAGCAACCTTGCCTTATCCCTGATTTCAGTGGGATTGATTTGAGTTTCTCTCTGTTTAGTTTGATGTTGGCTATGGGCTTCCTGTATATTGCCTTTACTATATTTAGGTAAGTCTTGTATCACTGATATCTCCAAGACTTTAAACATGAAAGGGTATTGGATTTTGTCAAATGCTTTTTTTGGCATCTAAGGAGATGATCATGTGGTTTTTCTCCTTTGTTTGTTTATATGGTGGATTACATTGATGGATTTCCATATATTGAATCACCCCTGCATGCCTGGGATGAAGCCTACTTGGTCATAGTGGATGATATCTTTGATGTGTTCTTGGATTTGGTTTGTGAGTATTTTGTTGAGTATTTTTGCATCAGTGTTCATAAGAGAGATAGGTCTGAAGTTCTCTTTTTTGGTTGGGTTTTTGTGTGGTTCAAGGTGACTGTTGCTTCATAGAATGAGTTTGGTAATGTCCCTTTTGTTTCTATTTTGTGGACTAGTTTGAAGAGAACTGGAGTTGGCTCTTCTTTGAAGGTCTGGTAGAATTCTGTGCTAAAACCATCTGGTCCTGGGCTTTTTTTTTTTGAAGGGAGACTTTTGGTGACTGCTTCTATTTTCTTTGGGGGACATAGGTCTATTCAATCTTTTTACCTGATTTTCATTTAATTTTGGTAAGTGGAATCTATCAAGAAAATTGTCCATTTACTTTAGATTTTCAAATTGTGTGGCATATAGGCTTTTGTAGGAAGACCTAATGATTGATTGTTTGGATTTCCTCAATGTCTGTCATTATGTTCCCTTTTCATTTCTGATTTTGTTGATTTGGATAGTTTCTCTCTGCCTTTTGGTTAGTTTGGCTAAGGGTTTATCCATCTTGTTGATTTTCTCAAAGAACCAGCTCTTGGTCTCACTGATTCTTTGAATTGTTTTCTTTGTTTCTAATTTATTGATTTCTGACCTGAGTTTGATTATTTCCAGCCATCTACTCCTCTTGGGTGTGTCTACTTCTTTTTTTTCTAGGGCTTTCGGTGGAGCCATTAAGTTGCTTGTATGAGATGTTTCAAATTTCTTCTTGAGGGCACTTAGTGCTATGAACTTTCCTCTTAGCACTGCTTTCATTGTGTCCCATATGTTTGGGTAAGTTGTGCCTTCATTTCCATTGAAATTTTTGGAAGTCTTTAATTTCTTTTTTCATTTCTTCCCTGACCATGCTGTTATTGAGCAGAGATTTAATTCCATGTGTATGTAGGCTTTTTGTTATTTCTGTTGTTGTTGAGGCCTAATTTTAGGCCATTGTGGTCTGATAGGATACAAGGGATTATTTTGATCTTCTTGCATCTGTTGAGGCTTGCTTTGTATCCGACTATATGGTTAGTCCATTAGGTGCTGAAAAGAAGGTATACTCTTTTGAGTTTAGGTGAAAAGTTCTGTAGACCTCTATTAGGTTCATTTGATTTAGGACCTCTGTAAGTGTCATTATTTCTGAATTTAGCTTCTGTCTAGATGATCTGTCCCTTGGTGAGAGTGAAGTATTGAAGTCTCCCACTATTAAGGTATTGGGATCGATGTGTGATTTCGGGTTTAATAATGTTTCATTTACAAATGCAGGTGCTCTTGTTTTAGGGGCATAGATATTCAGGATTGTGATGTCTTCCTGGTTGATTTTTCTTTTGATGAAAATAAAGTGCCCCTTCTCATCTTTTTTGATTAATTTTGGTTGAAAGTCTATTTTATTAGATATTAGGATAGCTACCCCAACTTGTATTCTGGGTCCATTTGCTTGAAAAATATTTTTCCAGCCCTTTACTCTGAGGTAATATTTATCTTTATTGCAGAGGTGTGTTTCTTGGATGCACCAGAATGTTGGATCCTGTTTCTGATAGTCCATTCTGTTAGTCTGTGTCTTTTTATTGGAGAGTTGAGTCAATTGATATTGATAATAGTGACTAATGAATGTTAGTTCTTTTTATTGTAGAGTTGGAGGTGTTACTGTGATTCATTGCTTGTTTTTTAATTCTTTGTTGTGAAGTTATCTATATCCTGTGTTTTCTTGGGTGTAGTTGATTTCATTGGATTGGAGTTTTCCTTCTAGTATCTTCTGTAGGGCTGGGTTGCTGTGTAGATTTGTTTAAGTTTAGTTTTGTCATGGAATATTTTGTTTTCTCCATCTATGTTGATTGAAAGCTTTGCTGGGTATAGTAGTCTGGGTTGGTATCTGTGGTCTCTTAGAGTCTGCATGACATCTGCCTAGGCCCTTAAGGCTTTCATAGTTTCTGTGAGTCTGGTGTGATTCTGATAGGTCTACCTTTATCTGTTACTTGGCCTTTTTCCATTGCTGCTTTTAATATTTTTCCTTTGTTATGTAGATAGAGTGTTTTGACTGTGATGTGACGTGAGGAGTTTCTTTTCTAGTCTAGTCTATTTGATGTTCTGTAGGCTTCTTGTATGTTAATGGACATTTCTTTCTTTAAGTTGGGAAATTTTTTTTTCTATGATTTCTTGAAAATATTTTCTGGACCTTGGAGCCTGGAATCTTCATTTTCGTCTATTCCTATTTCTTGGATGTTTTGTGTTTGGAACTTTTCCGATTTTACTTTTTCTTTGAGGGAAGTATCAATTTCTGCAACTGTATGTTCAGCACCTGAGATTCTCTTTTCCATCTCCTGTATTCTATTGGTGATGCTTACCTTTGTGCTTCCTGATCTTTTCTCTAAGTTCTCCAGCTCCAGGGTTTTCTCTGTTTGTGTTTTCTTTATTGATTCTGTTTTCATGTCTTGCCCCATTTCCTTCAACTGTTTGAATGTGGATTCCTGTCTTTCCATGATGGCCTCTATTTTTTTTTTGTTCATTTCCTCTCTATATGCTACTACTTGTGCCTCTACCTGTGCCTCTGTTTGTCTGTATTTGCCTGTATTTCTTTGTAGATCTTTGTTTGTTTCCTCGTTATGTGCCTCTAATAACTGGAAGATCATAGGTTCAAAATAATTTTCCTGTGTTTCCATTGATTTTGGGGGTTGCTGGTGTTGCCGTGATGCCCTGAATTTTGTTGGATGTGTTCTTATGCCAACTTTTAGCCACCTGCTTATCTATAACCTTTGCTGTTTGTTCCTGGAGTCTGGACTTCAGACTGGGTCCTTCTGTCTCTGGTGTCTGGGATATTCTTCAGGAAGATGAGAGAGGTCTACCGGCTTGTGAGTGGATATCAGTGTTTCAGCTGTAGCTAAGGGCAGAAGGTCACAGACACATATGGGAAAGTGTGAGCGTGTGAGTGGTAGTGTGCTTTGAGGGAGAGGGTGCTAGAGCGTGTAGATGCCTAGAAGGATGGAGCTTAAGCATGGAGAGGGTGCGGTTGCTGGTGCTGTTCAAAGGCGCAATGTGCTTGCGCAGGTGCCCTGAATACTTCAGTGTCTTACAGGCCTGTTGTACTATCCTCCTGGCATTCAGATCTGTCTGTCT